AAGCCCATGAACTTAGACTCACCTCAAAGCCACTAGGAAAAGTCACGTTATGTAATGTTTTCTTCTCCAAGGAACCTAGGGCAGCATCATCGGATGAAACTATGGTCATCATTATGAACAAATTTTAGCTTGTCAAAGCAAGGAAAATGGGTCAAGCAATAATGTATTATTTAGTATTTAACACACTACATGAAATCCAGGCACAGAGCCTAGAGGAATCCTTAGACCATTTTTGTATTCCATAGCCACTGTAGTGGTAAGTTTGAACTGAATACAACAAAAACCAATGTGACAGAGGTTTATCCGTAGCACAGTGTCACAGTTCAATTACAGTCAATCGTTGCATTTCTGCCAAAAAAAAAAAGAACTCGAAAGAGTGCTTAAACTTAAACTAGAGTAGATATAATAAACTCACCACTGGTCTTGGCCGTCACAGTAGATTCTGGTGTCTTCACACACGATATTAGAGAAGAATTTGGCTTCCCACCAGCCACCAAGCCAGAGACGTGTGATGGTTTTAGAGTGGACCGGTTACCATTGGGCACATGAACTGTAGCAGGCCTTTCATGTAAAAATCGTGACTGTGAAACAGTGCCTAGAGGACCTGAAATTTAATAACAGCATATAAGCTCCCAATTTGGAAGATAAAGGCTTCACAGGAGCTAAAATCTGAATCCACTTCCTCTTTCTTAATACAAATTAAATTCACCAACCTAACCAGTTTAAGAAACTGCCTGCCTGCCATTTAACATTTCAAGAGACGCAAAGCTAATCCATAAGAAAACAGAACATAAAGCAGATCTTTCCAGCTCCAGTTCAGAACTCCAAAATTTAAACCGAATTACTTAAAATAGAACTACGAAAAACAGAAAAGGAAAATAGGAGATCTAAAACATAAATCATTTTCTATTCTGATTCTTCCAATTGAGAAAGATAAGATATGCAAAATGCTCAAATGATGAGAAAAAAACTTAGCTCACCGCTCACCTACTCTCTCTTCGTTTCCAGGAAACCAAACGGACCTCGATTTACAAATACAAATCAACAGAGGCATATGTTTCCTTCCAGAGAGAGAGAGAGAGAGAGAGAACTTACAGTGAAAAGATCGGAGAGCAGCGGAGGACTCCATGGAGAAACGGAGAATTCGAATGCCGAGAGTCACAGAGGAAGCTGAACGGGAGAGATGGAGTTATACAGAAAAATGGATTGGGGGGAATCCAGAAAAAGGTAATATAAAATGAAAGGACGAGAGGTTTTGTTAGCTGCAACTACAACGGAGAAAAGAGAGTCTGCCCAGAGAGACTGCCTTTGTAATCTCCGCCTGCGTCCTTTGTTTCTCCATCTTCCATATATTGCTCCAGAGTCGCATGCTAACGTACGCCGGAGGCGTGTGTTTGTTCTTGCGCCTACGTGGCTCTTCCCCTTTCGTTTTGGTGTTAAGGTAGTTTTCTAGCATTTAATTCTTACTTTAAAAACTCCGCTTCACCACTTTTAAAAAATATAATAATAATAAAAATATTATAATTATAATATTATAAATTTATAATATTATATATTTTATA